GCCCAACAACAGCTGCCGGCGGAGATGAACGCGGACGGTCTCCTCTTCGATTCCCTACCCGAGGACCAAACGCAAGCCCGAAAACAGGATTTGGGGTCTCGAGCCCTCTCGCTCGAGTCACGGAAGAAACAACCTCGCCAGTGAGCCCCGACAGCAATAACAACAAAATCGATGGCACCGCTTCTCTGAATTCCGATGCAACCAAGAATCCCAATGGCGTTGCTGATGCTGCCTCTTCCACCACCACGACAACATCGACAACTACGACAGCAACAGCATCGTCAGACACCTCCAAGAGCGACGTTACCACCGACGATCCTCCAGAAACAGGCCTTTCTGCCGCACCGCCGAAGGAGAAAGAGAAGGAAAAACACAAGCGCAGAAGTAACCTGACCAGCCCACGTTCGTCGACGGGACTTGATGCGGATGCTTTGGAAGGGATGAAGAGTATTGCTATCTAAAAGAGAGACAAAAAAATGAGAGAAAATACATTAGAAAACAAAAATCACCACATTTCTAGGCGGCAAATGGTTTCTACTTCTTTTCTAGGGTCTTTCCTCCCTGCTTGTTGATAACCCTTCTCTTTATCTCCTGCTTGATGTTTCCCTCCCCTCTAACTCACATTAGATAATGGAGGTGATCTAGGAACTTTGAGTTAGGAAGCCGGGGGGAAGGGAGGAGTTGTCTGCGTGATGGGTCAACTGGTTGCATGGGTGCATGCTGTATATGTTCATGTTTTGTTGGACGGGAGCAAAGTTGTAGGGAAGCCCTTACTTATTCTAACTGAAGGGCTACCACGTCTTATGTTTCCCGTTTCTTCTAATCCCCTGTTGTCGGCCTCCCTGTCCTGTTTGTGTTCCTTCTCTTCGCTTTTCATTTCTTTCTCATCCTTATATCTTCCCCTGGCTGCTGCTTTTTTACTAATTATTCATATTTCCCTTTTCCGCTTTTTCACTTTGCTCTGCTTGGCTTGCTTGCTATTTTCTTCTCTTCTTTTTCTTCTGTCATGTTATTGTGGTTTTAACCACTCATCGCGCAGGCCGATTAGCAACCTGTACCCAATCCTTAAATGTATAGAACATAACTGTTTTTGCCTATTTGCTTTATACTCATAGCTACCTCTCCCCCCCCTCGTTCCCCCATTTTTGTTTTTAAGGTTCCTCCGTTTCTTTTCTTTCTTTTATTTATGCCTTCTTCTCGGTTCCTTCGTCCATATTCTCTCTTGCCTTTCTTTCTTCTCAGACACATCTCATTCCCAAAGCTTTTTCATGATTGCCAAAAACTCGGAGCATTCATGCATGGCATTTTTCTGTATTAATTTATTTTCTTTCTTTCTAATTGTAAATTCTCGCTCCCTCCCTCTCCCTTACTTTTTGCAAACCTGCGGTCCTCATGTTTCCCTCGTTCTTTTCATATCAATAATGTAATCATTACAGATCTATGGCTTGTACTCACTCTTCCAATCCGCCGCCCCGCCGAATCTCTGGTGCATCCATCCTCCCTAGTTGGACAACTTCTACTCCCGGATAATAAAGTATGTACATATTCTATTCTCATCGTGTTGTTTCTTATATCTCAAGTCAACCTTTTGTTTTCCCCCTTAGCTCCTACCTCGCCATTCGCACCATGTATGCTACGTATGTATACTTAACTATTTGACATTTAACAATATATATTTTATTTTCTTTGCCTCTTTGCCGTCGGATGGTCCTCCTTGTATATGTACTCTATGAGTACTAGGAATATTTAACAAGTGCTATTTTCATTTCTGCTACTTCTATTCTCCTACTTCTTTTTGCCAGGTTATTTATGTTATTAGATGGAAATAGTGCCTACCCTCTTTCTTTTTGTCCATATTCTGAGACAGGTATATACATATATTATTCATTCAATGCGTTCGGAGGCATGTACTATACATACTATCATGGTTATCGTAAAATCGGTTTACATGGAGTCACAATAGTAATGGCTGTCTCGCTTCCTTGGTTTCGTCTGCATTCTCTCGTTTCCTCTCCTTTCCTTATTGGCCTCGTGATAGGCGTCTTCTGGCCCGCTCAAAACTAAGACTCCCTCCCGTCTTCCAAAATATGACAAGGCTAGTTAATGGCTGCAGGGCGTGCGATTGTGTGAAGGAGGGGTTCCCAGTCAAAGGGGTGTATCGTCAACTTCCCAGCAGGTCAACAGCTCGCCTGGCAGGCTGGGAAATAGCAGATCCGAAATAGCAGGCAATTTATTAAAAAACAAAATAAAAAAAATGCCACGGCCGACTACAACAAATCGGGTTACCAAATGGCATCCATTCGAATATCCTTGATATATGTCTTTCGGAATGGCTGCAGGGAAGTAAATTAGACGCTTATGAATGACCAGCAACGCCGTCCGAAAGCATTAAATACTACTCACATCCACATGAATATATCTCCAAATTCCCACAAATAATCCATAAACAACTAGAATCCTTCTCAATCCCAATCATCATCGCCATCATCGTCATCACCAACATCCCGACCCCTCCTCACCCCACCCCTGATCCCCCTCCCACTCCGTTCCCTCCGAACTTCCTCATCCTCCTCCCCATCAATGTCACTCCCAACCTCATCCCCCTCCCCAATCCGCCGCTTAACCAAGCAACCCCGCCGCAACAGCCTCCTCTCCAGCTCTCCCGACCGAAACTCCTCATCAGCGTCGTGCCGCCCGCCATACCCCAGCCCCTCAAACCCCACAATCCTCTCCACGCCCACCCCGTCCACAAACCCAATCACGCACGGCAGCACTTTCACCTTTAGCTTCTCCACGACGAATGGTATCCTGCGAACATCCACGGTTGCGAAGCGGGTCTCGTGATGGAGGCCTGCGAGGGCGTGGATGTGTCTGTCCATCACAGCGCAGCGCGCGAAGTCCGGGTGGGAGAAGTGGATGACGCAGTGGGGGTGGCGGGTTGTGAAGTCGAGGAGGGATTGGTCGGATGGGAGTGTGGGGACGAGGGTGTTTTGGAAAGTTGTGGCGTTTATATTATTATTATCGTCGAGTTCGTTGCTGTTGCTGCTGTTCTTTTGATGTTGTTCTTGTTGCTGTTGGGCGCGGGCCGCTAGTTCTGATTGCAGATGTTCGATGCGCTGGGCTTTGTAAGAGGGGTTATCTTCTTCTCTTTCGAGGGCGGCGAAGAGGGCGTCGTTGTCGTCTTCATCGGAGGGGAGGTCGTGGTTGCGGGGTGGCATGTTGGACGGGGGGAGGAAGATAGCCTCTTCTATGTAGGGACTATTTTCTAGGGGATATGGGGACGGTGGTTTGTGGGGGAGAGGGATTGGTATCTATATGTCCTATATCTTAAATTGAGGGATGTATGTGAAGCTGGAATGTGAATAAACTTGTAAACTGGAAGCCGAGATAAAATAACTAGATAACTTTTTGAATTATTGACTGCCGAAAGGATCGAGCCAGGCCAGGGTTTGACTGGTTGATGCGGTGCTTATTCTCCGCCAATAAGGTGGTCAAGGAATACGCCTGATACCATTCCAAGGCTCTGAATTAAAACCTATATACGGGGCGATGAGGAGTTCTACAGAGAATGAAAGAAATAAGAAAAAAAAATTACTGGGCTAGAATAATTGTATTGCTTATGTGCTATACATACATCACACTAGAGAACTACAATTCATTCAGGCCATAGCACGACTTTTGCATTCAACAATTCCATCTTATCGACCTTTATGCTTGTCGAGCCCAATATATAGGAGATCCAATTGGTCTTTTCGTCGTTGAGCTGTTGTAGATACTTTTCTATGCAAACAGCGTAGAATCATAGATTTTGTTGCGGCTTGCAGTGGCGCTTAGAAAAGCCTCTGTTTTCAAACAACTCAGCAAATCCTCCGTCTCCATTGACGAGAGTGAGAATCTTAAGTTTTATCCAACCGATGCAAGACAGTAAATATCATTATCCTCGCGAGGTCAGCTCAGGACCGATAGGGCATAATAGCCACTGAATATGCCGTACTTCACATTGTGTGGTGAAAGGTTTCAGTGAAGCGCAATGGCTATATCGTTCAAACGTCCTTGCAACATGTTGTCGTTCAAGGCGTATCGCAGAGGTGAAGTTGGCCTCGAAAGTAGATACGCGCTAAAGGAAAGGGAGACATGAGCATTGTTGCTGGCTAATGGATAGGGTGCTGTTAAGCTAGCCCATGCTGCCCATCGTTAAATTTTAGGTTTGGCTTACCGTGGCACAATAGTTCTTGGTAGCAGGAGTGGTAAGAGTTCCAGCATTTCCAGAAGTACAACCCATCATGTTCGATTCGATGTTCATGTAAATAGATAAACATATAGTCATAATAAACCCTCTACTTTTATCCATAAGTGCCTGAATATATGCATGACTGCTCGTGTTGTTTGACAAGCACCTTTCCCAGTCCTCTCGTATCCCTCGTTTATTGTTCCAGGATTTGAAACACTCCTCAATGGACTGTTGTTGAGGATGCGGGTATATTCCGTTTGCAATGTCCCATGCATAGCACAGTACATGTGAACTTCAGGAACGTCGAATTAGGTTTTTCTTTTCTTTTCTTTTTTTTTTAACCCTTCACTGATCGTTTCAAAACGCTCCACGTAAAGCGGGAGCATGAGCTTTGTGTGTGGATCTTGTGGTAGTAGCTTCAACACTTGAATCTAAAGAGCTTTTCTCGAAAAGGACGACAGAAGATGATTGCAGTTTATAGTTTCCCTGTTTTCATTGTTTTCTGGAAACTTCCAGAGGATGTCATTGTTCTCAATACTAAACGATAAGTTGTCAACTAGGCCCTATATCAACGGTGTCGTCACGCTCCTAGGAGCATCAGCAAAACGAGAAAGAATGCAGTAAGTAGATGGTCGATTGTATATCGATAGACCAAGTTTTTTTGCTTTGCCAATAGTTCAAACGTTGTCCCATGAACTGTCTGTCACACACGCATTGACAGCTGTTGACACTAGGGAAGTCAACGCCGGAACACCAGTAGAGCCTTGACGGCACAGTAAATTGCTAAAAAGTGTCATCGTGCCCATGTTTCTAATCAGAGTGATTAAGCAACCCCACTTAGAGAAGCTATTCCGACGTAAACATTCTCGCATCGAGGGCTTCGTCGATTTGGACGAAGAGTAAATTCTTTCGAAACAATGCCATTGATTTTTCTTTGAATCGACGTTAGTCTGATAGAAAAGTTGTGTGGTCTGTAGGTGTTATTGACACATATCCCGGTAGCAATGTTCACGGCATACTAGGTAACATATTGTCTTTCTTAATGGGGATTCAGTGACGGAGCTGGATTTTGATGGAAGGGTTTCACTTTAATATCTGCGGCGAACAGTTCCCGGGATAAAATGGGATAATCGTTACAGATTGTACGAGCATGTATTGTACGAGAATGATACGAGGAACGAGCTCTATGTGAAGGAGGCTGAGAGGAGGCTGAGGATGGGCAAGTTTTGGCGAGTAATACGCGTACGTGTAATACGTGCGTCATAGGCCACTGGCGAAATATGGACGAGCATGCGTAATTTTGGCTGCGGTTCTTCGATCACGAATCAATTGATTACTATTCGAGACAAATTCCAAAAAACCAACTTCTCTTCGCTCTGCTGTTTCACTCTGATCCCGCTCCTGTCGTCAGGCTCATTCCACTCACTTGGCATCCGTCCGGATCGTCGCGTTTTTTCGTTAGGATTGCTCCTTTTTCTTCTTTGTCCGAGTCTGTATTGTTGTTGTTTGACTTTGTGGGTGTTTCTCTCGCCATCGCCCCCGTTAATCGCAGCATCGCGCATTCCTCACCCTACCTCGAGACAATCAATGCAAAATGGCGGACGATAAGAAGAACGATAATTATGCCATCGATATGGACAAGTTGGATGCCAATAACAAACGATTCGATGCTCCGCCGCCTTCGCAACCCCGACTCCCTTCATCACGCTCATACACATACAGCTCCGCTCTCCCCGTATTTTGCTACTGCTGTTCTTCGATTTTGATGACTGTTACAAATAAATATGTTCTGTCAGGGACTTCATTTAACTTGAACTTTCTCCTTCTGTGTGTCCAGGTATGCGGAATTATCTTCTAATTGGATAGCCTTCTTTTTTTTCACTTTTTTCTCTTGGTTTTTTTCACCACGCCTTGTCTGACCCAAACCTTTATATTTAGTCCCTTGTTTGCGTTGCTGCAATTCAAACGTGCAAATCCTTGAAGATTATCACCTATCGGGATTTTAATATAGATGAGGCAAAGAAATGTAAGTGTGGATTGGGAAATTCCCCCCTTTTTTTGCACTCTGTATTACAGCGGATGTAGTATCTAATTTCTGGTACTTCAAATAGGGTTCCCAATTTCTCTCCTCCTCATCGGCATGATATATACGGGCACCAAGGCCTTGCAGTTCCTTTCCATCCCCGTATATACCATATTCAAAAACTTAACTATTATCCTCATTGCGTATGGCGAGGTGCTGTGGTTTGGAGGCTCGGTCACTGGCATGGTGCTTTTCTCGTTTGGCTTGATGGTTCTGAGTTCCATCATTGCGGCGTGGGCAGACATAAACCATGCGCTTTCGCAAGTAGGCATGGATGCCACAAGCAAAATTTCAACACTCAACGCTGGATATGTCTGGATGTTGATCAACTGCCTTTGCACCGCATCCTACGTTCTTGGTATGCGCAAGAGAATCAAGTTGACTAACTTCAAGGACTTTGACACCATGTTCTACAACAATCTTCTCTCCATCCCCATTATTTTGGTCGCCTCTCTTGTCGTGGAAGACTGGTCATCAGAAAACATCAACTTAAACTCCCTCCAGAGACTCGTAGCCGCATTATCATGGCAATGGTCTTCTCAGGCAAGTCCTCCGTCCTTTCTTTAATGCTACCTCAGCATGGTGTGTGCGAGTAACCTCATCTACTCTACTGATTCCATGGTGGGAGCACTGAACATACTTCCCATGCCTG